AAGTGTGGCTTTGGCACTGGTGAGCAATCAGAGTGGACATAGGCTACCATGCTCAACAGAATCATGGAAGACTTACAGTGTTCAGAGATTAACCCTTACTGGCAGGGTCATGACGAAGTATAGGAGGGAGGTCTTTGGAAGAATCCTGCATGGCCACAGTGTCAGGAAAAATACTTGGGAGCACAGAGAGAGGCTATCTACCAAACTGTACAGAAGTATTATACTCTTTTATTAAGTGGCCAGCCATTCTGTTGTAAACTAATTAAACATCTCCCTTTTATAATTCCATGAGGTTAGGTAACCCTTCTATGTTCTTCCATGGCATTTATCACCTCGCACCTCTTGACACACTGTATTATAGTTTCCAATTCACTTGTCTGTCTCTCTCCTAAATTAAAAAGCTCTTTAAGTCAAGGATCTTGTTTGTTTGTTATGATGATGTCAGCATCCACCATAGGGACCAAACCATGGCAGACAAACATCATAAATATTTGTGAAAGGAGAAGAAAGAATAGGAAGATAGAAGGAAGGAAGGAAGAGAGAGAAAGAAGAATTGTAGTAGACCAGATATGTAAGTCCTATTACTGTTGTCCAGTGTATTTTATAGAATTATAAGCAAGTGTTAAGAATAGAAAGACATAATGATCATTTGATCCAACCTCCTCCTTTTATAAACAAAGACAGAAATGCAAAGGAGTAAGTATTTGCCCGGGATCATGTAGCTAGGGAAAGTATTCGCGTGCCCTAGCCCAAGTTTGATGGTCTTATCTTTTTACTTCTGAACTTTTTGCAAATCAAGATTGAACCCTACTGGCAAAATATTCTGCATTAATGTTCATTAATTTTCTTACTTTGGAATTGAAATTTATTTAAGATACTCCATAGCTCCTGCAAATGCCTTCAGTATATTTCAGGAAGGTTGGTATCTTTCTGTGGTGCTGTTTGATACTCATATAAAATAAAAATACCCATATACATATTAATATACTTAGCAAGATTAGACTCTGAAATTCTATGACTTTGGGTTTGAAGGTGAAAATTCATGCCCTTATTTCCTTTCAGCATGTTCCATGAATACAACGCATGCCTCACACTCCAGAAATAGTGCTCATCCCTAATAAACTGCCTGGCCTCAGGTAAAACACCTGTGTTCTTGAAAGTAAAGTTCTCATGATATTCAATTAAAAAGAGAACATATGAACTCTTATGTAGCTCCCTGCTGCACAGTCCCACATTCCTAGGAGAGGATGTAAGTAAACCTTCCTTTAAACTACTTACCAAATGTAAGTGAGCAATAAATTAAGTGCTTAGGCTCCCAAACCACCTAAATAGTTTATTTGCATTAGCAAAGTATAAAGTGAGACACATGGTCCACTGTCAGGGAGTTGTAGTAGACAATAAAGTAGCATATGTTTTGAATCAGTTCCTCTTGCTGGTTTCAATAAAGCAGAAACAAGGTTTTTTACCTATTCAATCACACAAGCCACAGTTGTTTTAGAGCAACATTTCTAAGAATGTGTCCACTGCCATACCAGGAAATACTAGCAAAAAGAGAATCCTCAGAGCACAGAGGATTATTAGGGCAGTGAAACTATTCTATCTGATACTATAATGGTGGATACATATCATTATACATTTGCCAAAACGCATACAATGTACAATACCAATAGTGAACCCTAATAGAAACTGTGGACTTTGGGTAATGATAACATGTCAATGTGGATTCATTGATTATAACAAATGTACCACTCTGGTAGGGGATGTTGATAGTGGAGAAGCTGTCTATGTGTGGAGACAGGCAGTATGTGAGAGCTCTCTATACTTTCTGCTCAACTGTGCTGCAGGCCTAAAACTACTCTGAAAAATAGTCTATTGAAAAGAAGAGAGAATTCTCTGTCTCTTTGTCTCTCTGTCTTTCTCTGTCTCACACACAAACCATACACACAGAGAGAAGGACAAAGTCAAATATGCTTGGAAATTCCTCTATACTGCATCTGTGTCTTAAAGATGGTTCTGGGGTCACCTGGGTGGCTCAGTCGGTTAAGTGTCTGACTCTTAGTTTGGGCTCAGGTCATGATCTCAGGGTTGCGGGATCAGGCTCCACGTCAGGCTCCACACAGCGGGGAGTCTGCTTGAGGATTCTCTCTCTCCCTCTGCCCCTCCCCCTGCTCATGCTCATGCACCCTTTCTCTCGAATAACTGGATAAATCATTATTAAAAAAAAAGATGGTTCTGAGTATGGCTCTCCCTGAACTCACTAAGAAGGAGTTGGGCCTGCCCTTTTTAAGCCCAGTTCTCATTGACTAGCCCCAGAACCAACTGTGAATAAATCAGTTAATTCTTAACATTATGTCTTCCATCTTTCAAATCCCCAAGGAGAGGGGAAAGAACCAGCATGATTCAAGTTTTCAGGCTTTTATAGGTTCAGAACTGGTTTGTCTCAATCCAGCTCACCCCAACTCCACCTTCACACCCCGGGAGTGAGCAAGTGACAAGGAAAGATGATGTGGGAGCCTTTGCAGCCCTGTGAGCCTTCTCTGTATTTTTCCAGATGTCATACAACTTAAAGAGAAGTCCTAACTGTTTATAAAATCAAGAGAATTAAGGCAGCTAGAGTATTTTATTCTCTCCAAGATTGCTATTTCCTTGACTCTGGTTCAATTTAACTTTCATCTGAAATATTTTTTTAAAAATGTACTTATAATGACTACTCACCATTGTTTAAAATGTCCTTAGAAAACAATTTTTTTATAAAAGAGTAAAAACAACTGCAGATAACATGATTAACTATTCCAATATAACAACTTTGATTTTATTCCTTATAAATCTTGTATAAATTGGGAGATAAGAGCAGAAGATATTAATGTTCCATTAGGAAAAAAGGATAATGCACCTGCCCCAGGGTTTTATAGCTTCCACAAAATGCCTTGGTTTACCTAAAAGCTCAAAGTTCTCCCGTCAAAATAATGTTGCAAATTTTCTGAATTATTATGACCTCAGAATACTTTTTGAGCAATATCTGTTAGTATCTTATGAGAAACCACTGGTCCTAAAAAGAGTTTAGGAAGTGCTGTTTTAGAGGCTGTGCTTGGTCTAATTGATTGTAAATAAGCTGATTCATGAAGTTGATTGGCTTATGGCTATGTGGCCGATTTTCCTATTTTTAGGAATTTCCCCCAAACTTAGAATTTTAGTTAGGAAAACCTTGGAGATTTTCTAGTTCAACTCCATTTACTTGGAGGGCCAGAGTGGTTTCACAGTGCACTCAAGGCCACATGGAAAGGGACTGACCCAGTCAGAACTAGATCCCAGGTCACTAATGCTGTCTCTTTGAGACCTTCCCCTCAACTTGGCATGCAAATCTCCTATGGACTGAATTGTGGCCCTCCAAAATTCATATGTTGACTCCCTAACCCCTCATACTTCAGAATGTGAGTATATTTGGAGATAGGACCTTTACAGAAGTGATTAAGTTACAATGAGGCTGTTAGAGTAGGCCCTTGTGCAACCTGCCTGGTGTCCTTACAAGGAGAGGAAACAAAGAGTCAGCAGGGATGTATGTACACAGAGGAAAGATCATGTGAAGACATGGCCATCTGCAAATCAAGGAAAAAAGCTTCAGAAGAAACCAAATCTGTGCTTGGACTTCTAGCCTTCAGAGATGTGAGAAAATTCATTTCTGTTGCATAAGTCATGCAGTCTGTGGTAGTTTGTTACGGCAGCCCCCACAAATGAATACAGGCCTTTCACTATCTGATCCTCTTATTTTCTCAACCTTATTTTCCTCTTCAACCCCAGCATAAAATGTACATTTCAAGTATAGTGCATTCCTTGAACATTCCTGCCCCCATCCTTCCCCACAGAATTATTTCTTTGTCTAGATGTCATTTATTGGGGCACCCGGGTGGCTTAGTTGGTTAAACATCTGCCTTCGGCTCAGGTCATGATCTCCAGGTCCTGGGATAGAGCCCCGATTTGGGCTCCCTGCTCAGCGGGGAGTCTGCTTGTCCCTTTCCCTCTGCCCCATCCCCCACTCATGCTCTCTCTCTCTCTCTCAAATAAATAAATAAAACCTTTAGAATGTCATTTAATGGGCACCTGGGTGGCTCACTTGGTTAAACATCTCATGCTTGATTTTGGCTCAGGTCATGATCTCAGGGTCATGAGACCAAGCCCCATGTTGGGCTCCACGTTCAGCAGGGAGTCTGCTTGAGATTCTGTCTCTCTCCTTCTCCCTCTGCCCCTCCCCCCAAAAAATAAATAAATAAATTTTTAGAATGTCATGTATTTCTCAAAAGCGAGTGAAGCCCCACTTATTTAATGCCATTCCTGGCCAACCCTGCTCATGGTGTTCATTCCTTTGGCTAACTCCTCAAAAACTGTAACATATGAGTTACGTTCTTTTTGTACAGTTACTTATTACTAGTCATCTTTGCATGATTATGTATCTTGTCTCCTAAACCGCTTCTTTAAACATTATTTCTTTGGTATTTCCACTGTGGCTAGTCTTTGCACTGTTGATTTTTCTCAACTTCTAAAAATGTTAGCCAGAAGATATTTTTCCTAAGATATGTATAGGAACACCAGTTTAATCCAAATGAAATTCAACAAAACTAGTGATCATGAGAATGTGTAATGGTAATATCCCAAAAGCAATATCGTAAAAACAGGCATACTTGGTCTGCTTTCCTGATATAATGACAAATTACTAGCATTACTATGTGGATAGACATGAAATCACTGAACATGGTATCTAAGGCCAAATTGTTAGAACATACTGCCAGTTTAAAATAGATATTCCCTGGCCACTTCTTGTTATTTCTTCAGTCTTGACTTTCAGTTCCTTCAGTGAACTCAATTCATAATAACAGTATTCTTGCTATTTTGTGAGTCTTCTCTGTAATGATGTTTGGTGTTAAAATATTAATCTGAACTGCAGAGTGTATCTGAAGATTTAAAATAGGCCCTAAGCTGCTTGGCAGTATTTGTATCAAGATCCTTCTACTTGTTGAGTAGTTCTAAGACTTGGACTCTTGATAATTATCAGCTCTGAAAAACAAGAGAGAGGACAAAGAATGAGTTTAGGAAGTGCTGTTTTAGAGGCTATGCTTGGTCTAAATGACAAAGAGAAAATGAGCTTAAATTATTTCATTGGGTTACTCCTATTCAATGATGATGAATCAAGGGTCGTTTTGGTCCATATCTTGTCAAATCAAATACCATCAGACTCAAGGATGGAGTTTTTTACCAAATGTCTTTAAAAATTACATGTGAATGTGCCTAGAAGCTGTCAATATTTACTCACCCACTATTTTTTTCTCTTAAAAGCAAAATCTAATGTTTATTTCTTAAAGATAAGAAGACCATAGCTTAAATTTTCTGATCTCTTCGGAAGATAGCAGTGTCATGAATGGAATCATATACTTCCAAGAGGTTTCTCTGGAAAGCATTACAAAAAAGAGGCAGTCTTATTAGGATTCAAAACAAGCGAGCATCGTTTTCTCCTCAGCTTGGTTCTTTGATTCCCTTGGATAGTTTAACAAAATGCCAGTGATCCTTAGTTATTTCAGTTTTGTCAAATGTAACTCTCAAAAGCGAGTGGCACTGTGACAATACTCCCCTCCAAACCAACTGAGAACTTTTCCTATGAGAAGATGTGATCCTAGAACAAAAATTGTCCTTAGGTGAGCATAGGGCTCACTCTCTAATTTGCTCCTAAGGAATATTAGATAAACTCTGATTCACTCAGTATCAAATCCTCCACTCAAAGTCTAATTGACTATTTTATTAATAAGTCACCAAAACTATTTGTGTGAGAATGTTCAGGCTGAAAGAGCCCCAGGTAATTGAGTTATAAATGTGCTTTTGTTCTATGCTAATGTTTTAGACAGAAAATAAAGGCCAAGAAAAGACAAGCCTTGAAGATTATGTATAGTGATCTGATGGGAGGGTAGAGGTCCTGATACTTTTTGTCACAGTGGTCTGCCTTTTATTTTAGAACATATATTTCCTTGGAGAGTGGCCATTATAATAAAGATCATATACCTTCAAGGTTCCAATATGGTAGTATTCCAAATAGATGCTAGGGGACAGATAAAATATAGGAATTTAAAGATGACTTGCCAAACAGGATTCTTAATTGGATATTCTCCGTGATTATGCTGAATGTCAGCAGTAACTATATGAGGAAGGAGAGGCAGGCCATAAGCAACTAAAAACTGACCTTTTAAAAATTCCCTTTAGGTTCCCAAAGTCCTTCAACTAGGAAATAATGCTCTGGAATGCAAATCCCAGGCACACTTCCTAGGACTCAAATGGAATCATATACATGAGGGACAATTCTATAGTATGTACGGAAAGAGAATTTCTGTTCCACATTTTTTTCCCCCTTCGATCCTAAAATTACTCACTGTTACTTGTGTACCTGTCATTGTACAAAGTTGAGTACATGATACCATTGCAATAAAGAAACATAGGCAGTAATGTTAAAGGACTATTTTATGGGTAGACAAAAAAATGCACCTCATGAAATAGTTATACATTGAAATCTTATACTTTATTCTTTAATTTTAGTATGTAAAACTGCAATTCTACCTACTTTCCTGGCAGGCATCCTCTATAATTCTCTCTCTCCTAAACATCCTTTAAACTTAAATATTAGTGAAAATTACCTCTAACTTCCTAAGAACATTCTGTGACAGAAAACTAATCAATGTACCCTCGGGAAAGATTTTTATAATTTCAAAATTATGTTTAAAATTCAAGTTACTTGCTTAATATACTTGGACACTTTGTTTCATTTGGCATCTTTTTTTTAAAGATTTATTTATTTATTTATTTGAGAGAGAGAGAGAGAATGAGCTGGTGGGGAGGGGCAGAGGGCAGAGAGATGTTGGGCTCCATCCCAGGGCCCAGAGATCACTACCTGAGCCCAAGGCAGATGCTTAACTGACTGAACCACCCACCCAGGTGCCCCCATTTGGCATCTTTTATTGTTTCTAATCTAGTACAGACACCTGAACAAGTTATTGCTAAAAGCTCTATGCTTCATGTGCATTTTTAACTGTTCTCACCACAGTCCCTATAGGAAGTACTCCTATTAGCCACCAAAACAAGAGTTAAAGAGGTCAAGTGAGAACTACTACATATTGTACTAAGGACTGAAACATAGGATGTTGTGACTCTAAAGATATAGAGCTACTGAGTACATGAGAAATAGTGAGAGATAGACTGAGCTGGGACGGCGGCCATTAAGAAGTGGAACAACAGAATTATAACAAAATATATCAATCTAGGATAATTTGGGGGAAAACAAAATAATGACTAGGTCGTGAAAAAAGTTTATATTTTATGCAGTATACTCTACTACATCAAGAGAGTGCATAATACATTTTAGATATATTTCTATGAAAAATAAAATATAGCTCACTGTTTAAATGGATAAGTTTCAATTCTTTGGGAATTTATTCTTTGATAAATTGGGCAAACTTGCCTATAAGTACCCCTTTTACTTCTCCATGGTCCATAGTTCACTCTATCACAATCTGTTTCTAGAAAAAGATGTTATTAAGCCACTTAAAACCTAAAAAGAGCCATAGTCACTATCAATTGCTTTTCCTTGGAATTTTCACATTCTCAATCTTAATGTAAAAAATAAAATAGAGGGGCACCTGGGTGGTTCAGTTGTTAAGCCTCTGCCTTTGGCTCAGGTCATGATCCCAGGATCCTGGGATCAAGCCCCGCATCAGGCTCCCTGCTCAGCGGGAAGCCTGCTTCTCCCTCTCCCTCCCCTCCTGCTTGTGTTCCCTCTCTTGCTGTCTTTCTCTCTGTCAAACAAATAAATAAATAATAAATAAACAAATAAATCTTTAAAATAAAATAAAATAGAAAAATCTTTCTCATTAAAAAAATTTCAGCCACCAGTGATTATTAAATTGGGGACATGCACACATGGAAAAAGTAAGCATCATTATCAGAGTTCCTAAAATCACAATACATAGATATCTGTTCTACTTAGGAATAAGTTCATTCTGTGTAAAAACTTTACTTATGAAAAAATGCTTCATTTCTTAGAGCTGTCTTCTCAGTGAGACATCTCTGTGTTTATTTATAATATTCTCAAAGTATCTCTGGGATAGAAACTGAGACATATGAAACCAAACAATGTGGAAGAGCAATCAAAATCATTTGTCCAATGTAGAAAACCTGAAAGACTCCACCAAAAAATTGCTAGAACTGATGAATTCAGCAAAGTCACAGTACACAATATCAACATACAGAAATTTGTTGCATTTCTATATACCAATAATGAAGCAGCAGAAAGAGAAATCAAAAAATTGATCCCATTTACAATTGCACCAAAAACCATAGGATACCTAGGAATAAACCTAACTAAAGAGGTAAAGGATCTGTACTCTGAAAACTATAGAACACTTATGAAAGAAATTGAAGATGGCACACAGAAATGGAAAAACATCCCATGATCATGTATTGGAAGAACAAATATTGTTAAAATGTCTATACTACCCAAAGCAATCTACAAATTTAATGGACTCCCTATCAAAATACCACTAGCATTTTTCACAGAGCTAGAACAAACAATCCTAAAATCTGTATGGAACCACAAAAGACCCTGGATAGTCAAAGCAATCTTGAAAAAGAAAACCAAAGTGAGAGGCATCACAATCCCAGACTTCAAGCTCTATTACAAAGCTGCAGTAGTCAAAATAGTATGGTACTGGCATAGAAACAAACACATAGATCAGTGGAACAGAATAGAAAACCCAGAAATGGACCCACAACTATATGGTCAAGTAATCTTCAACAAAGCAGGAAAGAATATCCAAAGCAAAAAGTCTGTCAACGAATGGTGTTAGGAAAACTGGACAGCAACATGCAGAAGAATGAAAGTGGACCACCTTCTTACACCATACACAAAAATAAATTCAAAATGGATGAGAGACCTAAATGTGAGGCAGGAAACCATCAAAATCTTAGAGGATAACACAGGTAGCAATCTCTTTGACCTTAGCTGTAGAAACTTCTTATTTGACAGGTCACTGGAGGCAAGGGAAACAAAAGCAAAAATGAGCTACTAGGACTTCATCAAGATAAAAAACTTCTGCACAGTGAAGGAAAGAATAAACAAAACTAAAAGGCAACCCACAGAATGGGAGAAAATATTTACATATCACATATCTGTTAAAGGGTTAGTATCAAAAATCTATAAAGAACTTATTAAATTCAACACCCAAAAAACAAATAATCTACTTAAGAAATGGGCAGAAGACATGAATAGACATTTTTCCAAGGAAGACATCCAGATGGCTAACATATACATGAAAAGATGCTCAGCATTACTCATCATCAGGGAAATCCAAATCAAAACCGCAATGAGATACCACCTCACACCTGTCAGAATGGCTAAAATCAACACAGGAAAAAACAGGTGTTGGCGAGGATGTGGAGAAAGGGGAACCCTCACGCACGGTTGGTGGGAATGCAAAGTGGTGCAGCCACTCTGAAAAACAGTATGGAACTTCCTCAAAATGTTAAAATAGAACTACCCTACAATCCAGAAATTGGACTACTAGGCATTTACTCAAAGGATACAAAAATATAGATTCAAAGGGATACATGCACGCCATTGTTTATAGCAGCATTATCAACAATAGCCAAACTATGGAGAGATCTCAAATGTTCATTGACTAATGAATGGATAAAGAAGTGGGGTGTGTGTGTGTGTGTGTGTGTGTGTGTGTGTGTGTGTGTGTATAATGGAATATTACTCGGATATCAAAAAGAATGAAATCTTGCCATTTGCAATGACATGGATGGAACTAGAGTGTATTATGCTAAGTGAAAAAAGTCAATCAGAGAAAGACAAATACCAAATGATTTCATTCATATGTGGAACTTAAGAAACAAAACAGATGAATATAGGGGAAGGGGGGAAAAAAGAAAGGGAGGCAAAACATAACAGACTCTTAACTATAGAGAACAAACAGGGTTGTTGGAGGGGAGGTGGGTGAGGGATGGGTTAATGAGTGATGGGTATCAAGGAGGACACTTATTGTGATGAGCACTGGATATAATGTGTAAGTGATAAATCACTGAGTTCTACTCCTGAAACCAATATTACACTATATGCTAACTAACTAGAATTTAAATAAAAACTTGAGACATAAAAACAAACAAAATAAAGTTTAAAAATAAATAAAAATAAATGAAATGAAACAAAAATGAATCAATAAATTAGAAAAAAACATAATAAAAGTTAATAAAAATAAAAAATAATCTTTGCCCAGTGAACCACTTATTGTTCTGTTAAAATATATAGCTGCAATGATTGCACATTGAGAAAAGGATTTTTTTTTCTGACTGTTAAGGGCACCATTTGATTCATTCCACATTATTAGGCTGTTTTGCAGATTTCTAATTAGTTATTTTATGTTCTTTTTCTCTCTTCCCCAGAGGCTCCCATCCAAGTAGCACTCACTCACAATTTAGGAAATTTTTCCTAAAGAGCCCTTAGGTTTCCTACATATCTGTTAATGGTCATGTTCACAAGGCTGAAACTCTAACTATTGATTTTATGGCATTATTTCTTAATGGATCCTTTTAGAAAGTAAGTGACTAAAAAGTACATAAGTTACCTCCATTTGAGCTTTGAAATGGGAGAGATCAAAGAAAAGGTCTTCCATCTCCTTGGCTCCAGAGAAATGTAGCTCAGTAAATGATAATAGTTCAGCTCCTGATACAGAAGACCCTTATGATTAAAAAAAAAAGTACCATTAACAATCATACCAATTTATTTGGATGAATATCCTATTAAGCAGAAAATATTCTGAATGCTTCTTGAAAAATATATCTTAGTTGTACATGAAGGAAACTTTTTTTCATTGCTGCAGTTCATAAGTTAATGAAAATTCTTTCTTATGGGAACGTTGGAGTGATCAAAAAGCTAAAGAAATATTTGGTGTTTAGAAATAAGCAATAAAATCTTCACTCTCTATCAGCTTGTTAAAATCAGCTAAGGCTAGTTGTGGACAAAAACCATTACTACTTGATGGATTCATGGTAACATATATGAAAATTGTTAATTATCTCAGCTTAGTACCTCTACTAGCTAATGACATAATTGCTATTATCATGTGTGCAACAGTACTCTCATAAAGAACTAAAAATAATTTTAAGAAAAAGGCACCAAAAATGCCAGCACTGAATCAATATTTAAATTATTATTTAATAATATTCAACTATTTTGTATTATGTTTCTGATACTATAGTACAGAGAGCAGAAGATTCAACTATAGTACAGAGAGCAGAAGATTCATAAAGACATTAGTTCTTGACCTCTGAGGTTCAAAGTCTAGTAAAGGTGTTAGACTAAAATTGAGAATCCGAATTGCCTGTAAGAGCAGTAACAGACATATGCACAGTGCTCTGAATACAAGAAAAATATGGTTACCACCAGCAGAGTAAGGAAAGTCTTCACCATAGAGTTGACATCTGAAATGGTTATGGAAGTATGTTGAAGTATGTTAGAGACAGTAGGGAAAGGTATTCTGATAGAAAGAACAGTATGTGCAAAGATGTGAAGTTGTGAAGGAGCATAGTGTGTTCAGGGAAAACTAGTGTCTAGCAAAATGCTGAGCACATAGTAGGTGTTCAATAAATATCTCTGGAATGAGTTAGTTAAAGGTAAAAGTATGAAGTTATATTTGGCTGGAACATAAACAGTTTTTATGAATAATAGGAAGCAATTTTGAAGAATAAATAAATGTAGGCAAGTAGTGATAGTCAATTTCCAAGGACCATTATTCTTTTTTTTTTTTTCTTTTAAAGATTTTATTTATTTATTTATTGGAGAGCGAGCGAGAGAGAAAGAGCATGAGAGAGG